AGTTGAAATTAGTAGTGATCAAATCGAGATATTAATTGAGAACAATTAATGTTATACTATGTGGGGGATAGCCAACGTACTCAAAATACCCAAATCAATAAAGTTATTGGTGAAAATGAAAAATGTGTCTTTTCTTTTATAGAAAAACTAAATGGACTTTTTTTGTCAACCCAATACTGAGTGAATGAAGAAAATAAAATGGCCACCTACTGAAGTAAGCATATGTGTGATAGTTAATGTCCAAATGGACTTAATTATTTAACTATGTATAGTGGGGAGTCTATTATGTAGCAGGGGAACTGAAAAGGTGACAAGAAGATAAATACCAGGAAATCCTTGGTCAGTGTTTCTCAAAGTATGTAGTCCCAGGATGAGCTGAATCAAAAACTCCTGCAAGCTTGTTAGAATGCAAATTCCTGGGTCTTACCCTAGAACTACAAGATAAGCTTCTCTACAGGCAAGGCAAGGAAGTGCATACTGAATAAACACCTGAGGTGATTTTAGTACAGATGGTTTTAATCAAGGAAACAAACAAGCAAGCAAAATAGAACCAGTGACATGGAAATAAAGAACAAACTGACAGTAACCAAAGGGGAGGGAGAAAAGGATAATGGGGCAAAGAAGGGAAAGGGTCAAGTCAAGGAACATGTATAAAGGACCCATGGACAAAGAGAATGGGAGATGGAGGATTGAATGTGGGAGGTGTGGGTGGGTAGGGCAGGGGAGAGTAATGGGGGAAAATGGGGACAACTGTGATTGAACGATAAAAGGACCCATACCTACCACCCCAGTGAGTCTGTAAATGTTCATTGTTAAAATTCAGAGTAGTTCTCTAGGGCTTTTGACATTAGCAACATAGACTTCATTTGACTGCAGGTCTGACATAAAAAGATTGCTTTTGCACATCTTACTCCTTTTGCAGGGAATGTTCATCCCCATCCCCCAGTTCACCATTTTAATGCTTACACATCCTTCAAAGCTCAACTCAGAGTCCTGCCTTCACATTCTGTCTATGCCACCCCATCCCCTTCTTTGCATTTTCTGTATCTTGAAACTTGTTCCGTTTCATATATCACCAGGAATTCCAACTGTGTATGTGCATGTGTGCATGCAGTTTTCTCTAATAAATTAGAATCATGGCCTGTTTTAAACTTTACAGCCTTTTACATAATGACATGTAATATGTAATTATTCAACAACTCAAACATGCCTGAAACCATTGGTTGAGACAACAGCAAATGTAAACAACATGGGAGCCAAAATAAATACCATGGGCTTGGTCAGTTTGTGCATCTAAGGTATGAATACTTGTGATGTGGTATGAAATTCTAAGGTTGTGGAGAACATTTTCTTCTTGGAAACTCACTGACTTAGGGGTCTTCATTCAAATGCCAGGGCAATTGCCAATAAATATAGAGTGTTTGAAAACCAAATCACTTATACTTTTTTCCTCCAATAAAAACCTTCCTGCAGGAAAAGGTGGAGGTAGAGAAGGTAGGAAACAGGAAGTGTCTGTTTCTGCAACTGTATAACTCATGGACTTTACGAATTGCTTATCACAGTAGGGCAGGTCCACAGGAAAGGAGATAAAGTACCACACAGATAATCAGATAAGTTACAATACTGGATAATATTTAGAAAGGCATCAGTGTGATATTTTTGAAGGAACACTTGCTTATTCTTCCCACAAATGACTATTCATTAGGAACCAGGCACAATATACTTCTGAAAGGAATGCTTCACAAAACTTTGTAAGAAGCTGTGGTTGACTTAATACCATCTTCTTTGTCCTGAAAAGAGGGTTGGGCTTTCATGTACACAGTTTTCAAAGTGCTTATCATAAGTATGGAGAGGAATGCAGCCCATATTAATTAAAAAATAAAATTCAGAATGAATTATATGCCTTCTCCCATTTATTTTGTAACAACCATCAAGTCTATTTTATTGCAGAAACTGTCATTTACAAGCCTGTGGGAATCTCATCATCTCAGTCAAGCTGGGACTGGGTGGTAAACAGGAAGCACAAGGAGTGCAGTGTAAAAGGCAGCTTTAACATTTTCAGTGAAAAGAGCCAACTTGTTTGTGGTATTGATTTGCTTTTAACAAGCTCCCTCAACCAAAACTGATGAATTGGCATAAGAACAAGGGTACAAAGGAAACATCAAGGGGCCTTCCAAAATGCTAACCAAATGATGAATTGTCTGCTTTGGGTGGCCATCACTTTATCCCCTGGAACCAGGAGGTAAAAAGATGCAAAGCTGTTAATACATGCTGCCTTAAAGTATTTAAAAATACATACACCCCCCCATCAGAGCATGCAGCCAATGGTGATGTCTTAATACTTTATAATCAAATTCCATACTTTAAGCAAATGCAAATTCTTCTGCATGCTGCCTTTAAAGAGAGATTTCTCTGCATACTGAATTGAAAGTAACCACTGATACAAGCTCAGGTAAAACACCTGCCTGGCCCTCACTAGAGTAGCTCAGTGGATTGAGCACGGGCCTGTGAACCGAAGGATCGTGGTTCAATTCCCAGTCAGGGCATGTTCCTGGGTTGCAAGCCAGTTCCCAGCAGGGGACACATGAGAGGCAGCCATACATTGATATTTCCCTCCTTCTCTCTTTCCCTTCCCCTCTAAAGATAAATCTTTTTAAAAATCTGTCGGGTAAACACCAAAGCATTTTCCACACAATAACACATTTTAAAATAGCTAACTTTATTGTCAGTGAAAAGATAGGCACAAAGTGGATTCAAACCTGCTTAATTTTATTTGAACTAGCTCAGTTGATTACAGAATAGGGTCTTAATTATTATGGCGCCATATACATTTCAAACCAAAGGTGATTCTTCTCTAGCTATCTGCCAACCCTAGCTATCCATTTTACAAACACATGCTATTAATCAAAAGGGATATCAGAAAGAGGCTTGATGGCTTTATGTAACCCATTGCTGCTACCAGAAAAAAAAACCCCTCCAAAACAGTGGTCCTACTGATAATGGATGGCACTTGGAAGATACATTCCAAGGATCATGCCGTGTTGAAATTGGTGGCAATTAGTCTATGGCTGATGCCTTCCTTTGAAAACATGTTCAGTAAGAATTCACACATTTAAGTAACATATTCTATATGGGAATGAGCAATTGAGATAACAGGAGATTGTATGACTAACAGACATGAGGGTATAATGTATAAAAGTTAGTGCATAAGTATACACTTTAAGTTGCCACATTATTAATGTTTAGACTTTTCATAAAAAGTAGTCTGCACAATAAGTTTGTTCATTTTCCAATTGTTGTACATACCCAACTGTGTAATAAGAAAAAGAGAATGTGACAGGTCTCTTAGCATATGTCCTATGGCAGATGATGGCAGGTATTTCAAGTTCCTGCTGTCCTCTCATCCTGAAGCTCAAAAGCAGCACTGAAAACAAATCCTTCATTAAAACAACAATCAAGATACATGATTTTATAAGAAAACTGAAGCTACTTTTATTTAATAAAAATCATTAATAAGAATTTTATATCAAGTAAATTTTGTTCTAATGAAGTTTTTCTGTACATGGGACATTGAAGTAAATCTGACTTAGAATGTCCTCAGAGATTGCCTTGCAATATAAGACAAGGTCACCCTCCTGTTCTGAGGTGCCAGTAAAATGCATAGATACGTGGGAGTGCAGAAAGATCCCCCAATATCACATTGACACAATTGTGAAAAGGTGGCTACCTTGAGATTTCTCCCGTAAACCTGAATTTTAAAAATGATACCTATTAGCGACCTTCTAAAAAGGCTTAATCTATCTTCTTCGTAAACATAATACACTGACATGGACTTCTTCCATCTCTTAGATGTGCAATTTATTTTAGCAAATTACCTAGGATTAAAAACTGAGCCAAAAAGGACCCCCTCTGGTGTGATGCAGCAGAGATGTTGTGGAAAGTTCAAAATAATACTTAATTAAGAACTTTTTCCTTTCCCCAAAACATATGAACCTAAAGAGATGGCTGCCACATAGTGTGGAATGCATGACATTTGTCACCTTAGAGAATGTAATTAAAACCATGGCTCCCAGAGCTAGCAAAAATTCTGGCAATATGTTATAACCATAAACAGAGTAAATGAAAAGGTTGATTTTTATTTTTACTTATTTAATTAGATAGAAAGTAGCAGTCCTAAAGTTTGCTACTTGATGTTTTTACTATTTAAGTTTTTTCTCCCTATAACTAAAAGGTAGTACAAATGAGTAGGAACACAACTTTACTTTTAATTTCCATTTGGGATTCACTTAATAACTGAGGATTTTAATGTGTAGGATAATCACTTCATTATTTAAAATGTCAAGACTAGCTAAAAGAAAATCACATCCCTTTCCCTCTTATCTCTTCCTTGCCCCCAAACAAAATCATTTTTTGGAAGGTAATTAGGAATGACACAAGAATACTATTATATAGGTCATTCCTATAGTTACAGAGGAACCCTGTAAAATAATCCAAGACAGCCAATCTCACAGCAATAGAAGTGAGGTTGATTTCTTATGGCAGATGTTTCATGTGACTCCATAATGAAGTCAGAGTCAGGAAAGAGGAAAACCTTGCACAAGGCATTGCAGGAGTGGCAAGACAGGAACTCATAACCCTAGAGAATCTCCTCAAGGCAGGAACATTTTAGAAAATTCATATGCCCTGGGCTGTGAAGATACCTTTTCTTAAAATGGGACTTTTTATATATGAATGTTCCCAAAATAAGCATGGTATTTGGCAGAGTGGAAAGCTGTGTTGTATGATCTTGAAAAGTCACTTAAACTCTCCAGATGTCAGATTCCTCATCACTAAAATGATGGGGTAGGGCTATTGTATTGCTAAAGTTCCTTCCAGCCACTGTGCCTCACAATGTAATGTATCAGACATATTCTTCTATTAATCTGGTTTCTAACTAACAGATCCCCAAACTTCTTCCTCTCACCCTTACATATTACCCCCATTCCCCACACCTCCCCCATACCCCTTGAAAACCAATATTGACATTGACTGTGAATTTATCTTAATGAAGGATAAATGACACAGAGCAGGGCCTGTGGCAAGAGTCAGCCCTTCTGTGTCCCTGAAGGCAACCCTTAGGCCAAGCTTGGAGCCATGACCTCCTTGGTCCCTGTCTACATGTGCATCTCCTGCTGCTCTACACAAGTATTTCAAGATGGAGTCACTGGCCATGAGAAGAGGTAGCTGAGGATACTGCTGCATCCCACCTCTCTTCCACTGCAGCATAGTACTTTGGACTTCTGATGCTATTCCCTTGGAGGTGATAGTCAAATATGCCTAAGAATTTAGGAAAACAAAATGAGTTATTTCAAAATAGTCACCAGAAATTCAAAGCATTCAACCTGTCACCAAAAATGCCTCCTCATTTGGCAAATGATTGGCAATTTGAGACTGGTGATACAACCAGTGAATTTGTGCTAAAGAAAAAACAGACATTAAGTAGGCTGGTCTTAGGAAAGGCAAGCAAGCTATTCATGGCTAGACACAGACCACAGAGGTCTACATATAGCAAGCCCCTCACATAATTCTCTATCAAGGCTTCTAAGAGAGTAAGTTTCAGCTAATTTACTATCCTAGCAGCTGAAAGCAATATATTAATTACCCAAGTGCATAAATTACTCCAGAGTGTATATATATATATGAATATGTGAACCTCTCAGAGGGAACCAAAAGAATCTACTTCCAAAGCACCACTGAAATGAAGATAAAAACAGTCCCTTGGCACAGGGTAGCTGAAAAATTGGAAGGGAAAATTAGCTCTAGCACCCTTCCACACCCCAATACTCCCTGCCTTTCTTCCAGTTTACATGGCTCCCAAAACTATTCCCTTTCATGACACTGAAGTAAGAACTCTCTCTGGATGTCGTCTAGATGGTAACTCTACAAAACAGCACACAGTCAAATTTTCTCTGGCTTTCCACTTCTGAACTACATGATACATACTGTCTTCCAAACCTACTGTGCTCTTCAAGAAAAAAAATATCTGGAATATGAAAAAGATAAACAAGTTTAAGCACATCAAACACATTTGGTGTATCCAGCTATTAATATCCCAGTATTTGTATGAATCCAAGTGACAATCTCTAGAGCACATTCTGATTAATCTGTCTTTAGAGGTACTCTCTAAATGTACCAAAAGAGTTGGAGTTCATAAGTATTATAATGTCTCAATAAAAAGTCCCTTTAAAAACATTCCCCCAACCCTTGTCCTCACCCTCAAAATAAGAACAACAAATGGGAAAAAATGATTAAAATCATTCTTGCTAATAAATTGCAGCTCTTGATTAGGCCATTTAGATGAGATATTCCACCATTTCTGCATCAGGCTCTTGACCCAGGATCTGAACAGCAGCTTTTCTTTCCAGAGTACTGGAGTGGAAAACGGGACCATCTAAATAGAAATAAGGGATTAGAAAACACTTAGGGACAGCACAAACACACAAATTTCTAGAAATGGACAGCTTTAAAGCCCGTATAGTCAATGGCCAAGTGAGATTTGCTTGGCACTCTGTCTTGTTCACCTGAACATTTATTTACCTCTATTTGGAGAAAGGCCTTGACTCATCCCTGTTCCCATCCTGGTGTCAGGTAAGTCATTTACAAACTCCCCACTCTCCTCTCTTCTGATTAATTCTCTTTAGAATATGAAGAACCTCCCTCCAAATGATCAACTATGCCCAAACAGCAGGCCTCAACAAACAAATCTGTAATTGAGGGCAGAATCAAAAGCTGCCTGGTACAGAAAATTATTACCTGTCTTATCTGGATTACACATCAAATTTGGTATAGACAAAGGCCGTGGTCCACAAGCAGCAGCCGGAGTTGTAGGAGCCTCAGCCTGAACCAAAGCTGGAGCTGGAGCTGGATTAGCAGGTGCAGCCAGAGATGGGGTTGGTATCTGAATCTGAGCCTGAGCAGAAGCCTGAGCCACTGTTGGAGTCAGAACCAGAGCTGGAACCGGAGCTGGAGCAGCTGGAGCAACCTGAACAGCGGCAGTGGCAACAGTAGGAGCAACAACAGTAGCAGCAACAGGTGGAATCTGAACAGCGGCAGCTGGAGAAACAGCGGCAGCTGGAGAAACAGCAGCAGCAAGAGCAGCAGCAGCAGCAGTTGCTGAAGATGGGACAGCAGTGGCAGCAGCAGCAACAGCCACTGGAGCAGCAGCTACCGTGGTGGTGTTGGTAGCAGCATTAGCAGTGATGGCAGCGGCAGTGGCAACTGTAGCAGGAATGGAGATGGAAGTAACAGCTGAAGTTTTGTTTGGTTCAATTCCTCGTTCTGTTTGGGTGCTGCAATCTCGGCTGCCTGTCTTAGAGTGAGCTGAGAGCAAGGGAGTCGAGGGCGGCACGGGCGAAGGTGTAGAAGGGACAGAGTCTGCACGGTAGTCTCCACCCAGGAGAATGCCTACAGAGTAAAGACAGAAAAAGATTAGAAAACTATATTTTATTCAAATACGGACATGCCATTATCTCTTTTTCCTTGTAGGAGGTTCAGGAGAAATATGAAAGGGTCTAACTCTTTGTACTCATGCAAATCCAAAAATAAGTTCATCAGGTACCTCTCTCTCATCATGGCTAAAATTTTCTTTCAGACTTGATACATCCCTTCTGGTTCTTATTCTCCAAGCCCCAACACATTATATTAAACCTTTAAGTGTCTTGGGTAGATGTTTTGATTTATTTTCCCAACGGTGATTGATTTCTACTGAGCTGTCAGAATGCTTCTACTTGGTTCCACTTATAACCAATACCATCCATTACTAGACAGATGGAAAGGATTGGTGGAAGAAGTCTGTAGTTACTGATGAGTGTGATGAGTGTGTAATCTAAGGTTCTAACCATGAGCATGGTCCCCAAAATGCCTACTCTAAACAAAGAACACCGCACGTGTCAGAGAACCAAGAAACGTATTAGAAGCAACAAAAAGAGCTAAAATTAAAATACCACAGCTTACTTCCTCAGGCTGTAACAATGTGCCTCATGGTATCTCAAATACTTCTGGGGTTGGACTAGAGGGGAAGCAATGGACAGGGAGGAATTGAAAAAGTACATTCTATTCTCACATCAGAACATTCTGGTAACAAAATGCCACCCAGCTCCAGTTAGCTTAATAAGAACTCTTGAGTCCTCAAATTTTATGGGAAAAAAAGAACACAGAAAAAAGTTGAAATTAAAAAAAATACTGCAAGAAGGGAATGCTGCATGGGCTTTGAACACAGACAAAAGATCCCACATGGTAAAGGCCAAATCTGAGAATTTTTAGAGGAAAAAATTATTTTTCCTTCCACTTAAATAGAACTCAGGATTCTTATCTTCTAAGGCCTTGGCTTCCACCAATGTTCTCTCTCAGTCAGACTTCACAGTATGGGGGAGCTCCTGATATGCAGCTAGCATTTCAGGAGGACAAAACCCCAATGCTATATATCTTCCTCTTTAGAATCTGGACTATGACTCCTTTCCCTTGCTATGTGAGCACATATCTAAGGCGGAGCTCTCTCTAAACATGTCACTTTAATCTTCCTTATTTGTTGTCACTACCTAGGCTCCCCTTCCAGCTCTTGTCATCCCGTTTCTCTTCCATGATAGGGGTGCCAGTCAGGGTGGAAGAGTGGGAGAGCAAGCCAGATCCAGCATTGGAAATGGACATCAGAGACTTTGCTGGCCGCATGGATGACAGCTGCTCCGTCTTACTAGGCTCCTTCCGGGAACGCTGCTGGAGTACCTTGATCATGGCATCCTTCTCAATAATCTGGGCATGGAGGGTCTTAATCCTGGGAGCCAAAGACAAAAAACATATAAATACCATGTTGCCATCTCCATATTCTGGTTTCACTGCCTACATGGGCTTGAGCTTCTGTTATTCGTTTGGCAAAAGGGTATCCTAGTTATCTCTCAGTAGTAAAACAAGGGAGAGTATGCTACATCTTTTTAAAGTGCCCTTCTGCACATCCAAATGGATAGCGCAGAACATCCAGGAATTGTTGCTTAAATTTTAGGAAGCCAAAGTAAAATATTGGTGAAGAGAAAGCTGTATATCAGAGTAAACAGCTAATAGTGGGTAGTATAGTAAAGACCCTGAGTCAACAGAAATGAAGTCAATGAGAAGGTGAGAACTTCTATAGATGGGCGACAACCTTTAGGTAACAAGTAAATGATCTTGAGTTTATAAGAGGCATCAGGTACCATATGAATGGATGTCCTTTTACTGAACACTCTGATGTGTCGTGCTAGAAAGAACACCCCAGAATGCAAATATCAACAGTTTAGCTCTGGCAGAGGGCAGATGGAAAGCAATTATCAAGGCCAATGGAGGAAAGAATTACTACTTGGAATTCCACAGTGAGTGAGAATACAGGGTAAAGGTCATTCATCTCAAATCATAAGTAACAAGGTGGCAGGGGCATAGGGGTGGGTGGAAGGAAGTATATTACCAGGTTTCCCAGTTGTGAATGAAGATGCTTGTCCTTCCCTATTGACCTATTGGGTCTCCATACTAATTTCTCAGATCCACCATGGTCCAGATCAACATCTTACCTGCCCTCCATATCAAGGCAACGCTTGTTGGCCATCAAGATTTCTTCCTCCTCCTTCTGAATGCGAGCTTCTAGAGCTGTGTCATAGCTGGTGTTAGGAGAGTGACTGATGACGGTTGTGTCCCTGGGAAGGAAAATGGCAGTAATAATAATGTGAGGGCAGCAAAATCAATAAACCCTATCTCCTTCCTAAGTCAAAGACATTGCTGGAAAAGCCCTAAACTGAAATCAAACTTATTAGGAATGATTGGTTTCTGGATGACTTACTGATGAGAGCTTTCAAGATAGAAAAGTCCAGCTTTCAGAGTTAGAAGAGGTCATTGGCATGGATGAAGCTGCAAAACTCAGTAAGGGGGCCTATGAGAGGTGTGCACAGGTTTGCCTTCAACACCAAGCAGACAAATATCCAAAATCTTCTGTTTTTTAGATTATGCTCAGGTGATGGAAATATATGGATATTTATATGTGTACTTTATATTATATTACATATAAGATACTATATTTCCATTTTATTCCCATGATAGTTATAAAATAAAAAGCTATACTTTGAAGAAGTTGAAGAATATACTAAACACCTATTGCTACAGAGAAATAGCAGTAACTACACTTGAGAGCTAGAAAGAAAGTATAGACACATCAACAGGTAGGGCAGGTAAGCTGAGTGAGAAGCAGGACCTTTGAGTCAGTGCCATGTGATCTCTAGGTAACGTAAATCTGAAACAATCTGGTTCCAAACCATTGAGTCTCCCCCAACTGACTGTTCTCTTGCCAGCATCTCAACAGCATGACGGATCATCATGTTCTACCTTAAAGTGTCTCAGGCCACTGACTCAAAGAATAATTAATGAAAAAAGTATGTGTGTGTGTGTGTGTGTGTGTGTGTGTGTGTGTACATGTAAGTAACAGTGAGAGGAGAAAAAGAAGAGGGTCTAGCCCATGGGTAAGGCTGATGCCTAAATAGCACAAGTCAAAAACATATGGAAATCTTTCACCCTGTCATAAGTCAGGTCATGCATGTTCCTTCAGTTCATTTACAACTAGCAGTAGAGAAAAAAGGAAACAAAAGGAAGAAAACTGGGTCTTATTTGAATAACTTTGAAAAGGAAAAGAGATTAGGAAGAATATTGGTGTAATTATATTGCTCTCAAAGGAAATCGGACAATAGGCTGGAAAAACAATGACCTGGCATTGCTTCATTATATTTCCTATGAGAATGCACATCTGTGGGAGAACTCTAGGCATATTTTCTGCTGGCAACTAGCTGTGTTGTCTTAGCTTAGAGATTGAGAATAAAGGGGCAGTGGAATGAAGAGGTAGAAAGTTGGGAATTTTGGTGTGTTCCTGCAAAAATACTGTTCCTCCAAACACTTGTGCCTTATATGCAAGACTGAAATGATTTGTTTGAATACAGATATAACTGGAGAGTAAGAAGGGGAAGGACTAAAATGGCTCTCATGATTTGCTAAATTCAAAATATTTTAGCATCTCAAAATTCTACACTTCCTCTGGTGCAGTTCACATACCTGAAAACCTACTGGGAATGGCCCTTATGTTCAAAGTACCCAAGAAGGACTGGCATTGTACAGTTTTGAGAGCATGAGCTCTGACTATAGTCCACACCAGGGTCAAGTCCCAGCCTTCCCAAGTGCACTGCCACTAACAAACTCTATGAACTCAGGAAGTCAGTTAACTCATATGTATAATGGAAATAGTAATTGTACCTATATCTCATGGGATCGTTAGGAGATGAAAGTGAACTATGCCAGACAAAGTAAAAGCACTCAACAAAGATATATATTATTAGAACAGAAAAGTATATGTAGAAGGTGAATAGCATTCAAAAGAGTATGACTTGAAAGAATTCCAGTTCTTGGTATAATTCTGGCAATTCCTGCAGTACAGAGTTCCAAGGTGATGGCTGAGGCTTCAGAGCCAGACCTCCCTAAAAAGTGCATGGTATCTATGGACACTGGGAACTTGAGCATATGGTTTGTCACTAGGGGAGCCAGGGCTGGCTTACTGCCATGTTCATTGCATAAAAGAACATTTGCAGGATTCAGAATCCTGCCAGCTAATTGATATGAACACTGTGAGCTCCTCAGGAATAGAGCCTGAAAATGTGGGGCACTTATTGAATTCTTACAGAGTGCCAGGACAGCCTTCAACATCAATCTTCTTTCTAAAAGATGGGCTACTAAGTGAATGACTTAGGCCAAAGCAAGTAAGCACAAAGTTTGAAGGAGCAAATTTACCTACTAACTTTCAATACTGTGAGACAATCCTTATGCGCATCAGTAGAAAAAAAGCTGAGCTTGAAAACACAACCTGCAAATCCCAAACTCTATATTCCTGAATTTACCATCCGTCATCTCCAATTCTGAAGTAAAGTTTCTGGCAATTATCTCTCTAGTCATTTTCTTTCTCCTTCCTTTCTCCAAAACAGTTATTCCCATCACATTACTTACATTGCTTTCTAGAATGTCATCTATGACTTCCTAATTAAAACATCAAGTGGCCATTTAAACTTCAAGTTCATCTTTTCATATAGGTAACAGCATTTTGTTTATTTAATATGTGAACTCAACCATGAGTATAGCAATGTAGGTGAAGACTAGGAGGCTGGAGAGTGGCTAGACATGATTAAGACTAGTCCCTGGCTACAGGAAACTTGTATGGGAGGCAAAAAAATTAATAATTAATGATTACAGAAATTAGTTTGGACTTTATTCCAACAGGCACTGAAAGTAATTAGAGCTTTTCAAGAGGAATGCAATGATCCCAGCTGTGTTGGTACAATAGCATTATCTCCTCTTGAAATGTGATGGAGGGGTTAGAGAATAATAATAATAATAATACTAGACTCAGGCAATAATACTAGACTCAGGCAGACTGGTCAGAAAGGTTATATAGTAATAATCCCAGCAAGAGATAATGAAAACAGGAACCAGTGCAGTGGCAAGGGAAAATGGAAATAGACTATATAGAAGGCACACTTGCTAGAACTTGGAGGCTATTTAAATTTGTATGTTAGGGTGAGGGAAGAATGAATGAGAACTTTGTTGTTTCTAAGTCAAATGACTACACTAGATGGCATACCACATATTTTCTGAGATAGAAAACTGAGGAGAGATTTTTTCAAAAAAACACTATAATGGGCTTTGATTTTAGGTACACTGGAATTAAGGTGTCACATAAACAGACATATAACAAAATCCAACAAGTTGTTGAAAATTCTAACTTTAATTTTAGAGATATCAGAGTTACTGTTTGAAGCTACAGTACAGAATAAGATGACTAAGACAATGGAGAATGGGAAAAAGAGCTGAGGATGGAAACTGAGAAAGGCCTACAATGAAGTTTGGTAGACACATGTAATATGTGTAATGAGCTTCTTTCTCCTGGCTTCCCTTTCTTCCTTCTTTTCCAGATTTACTTTGCCCAAAATAAAAATTAAACCTGAACATTCTGAGAAAGGTAACAACTTGATTTAATAATAAATGTAAGCTCACTTCCGCCAAGATGGAGGCATAGGTGGATGTACCGTGCCTTCTCACACAACCAAGTTTAGAGACAACTAAATATTAGCAACAGAAAACACAGCCAGAACACGGAAAATTGAACTTTTCGTAAGTCCGTTAACAACAAATTCTTCAGCCTGACCCGTAAGGGGCGAAACCAGCGGCTGGTGAAGCGGGGTTGCACAGGAGGACTCGGTCAGACTGACTCAGGCGCGCGGAATCCAGATGCGGAATCCAGGTGCAGGGTTGGACCTAGTGAGCAACCGAGCGAGCGACTAGGCGAGCAACCGTGGGGGAGACAGAGGGGGAGAGGGGCTGCGTGTTGACTGTGGTTGTGCATGTGTGCGCGGGTGGACAGGTGAGGGAGTGGGCGATTGGACCGGGTCGGCGGTCCCCCCGGCAAGCGGCAGTGGAGGGCGCCGCCATTTCCCTGCTCTAACCCCACCTCCACTTACAGTGTCATAACCCAGGTGAACTAAGTCGCTGCTCCTCACCCAGCTGTGAGAAACAGCAGAGGGGGTCGCCACTTCCCCACTCTGACCACGCTCCCACATACAGCGTCAAAACCCAGTGACCTGGGAGTCCAAGGCGCCGCTTCTCACACTTAAAGGGCTGGAACAGACCAAAAATGGCGCAAGAAGATCTCAAAGCCCCAGAGCCTATAAATCTAAGCAATGAAGAAATAGCAAAACTCTCAGACGCACAGTTTAAAACACTGGTCATCAGGATCCTCACAGAACTGGTTGATTATAGCCACAAATTAGACAAATATATGAAGGCGAAACTAATTGAAATGAATGGAATTGCACAGGACACCAATAGCAATGAAAAGGAAACTGGGACTCAGATCAATGGGGTGAACCAGAAGAAAGCAAATAATGGCCAAACAGAAAAGAGTCAAGAAAAAAGAATTCAAAAAAATGAAGAGAGTCTTAGGAACCTCCAGGACATCTTTAAAAACTCCAACATCCGAATTATAGGGGTACCAGAAGGGGGAAAGGCACAGCCACCAGTGGAAAACTTATTTGAACAAATAATAAAGGAGAATTTCCCCAATCTGGCAAAGGAAATAGACTTCCAGGAAAACCAGGAAGCTCAGAGAGTCCCAAAGAAGTTGGACCCAAGAAGGAACACACCAAGCACATCATCATTACATTAGCCAAGATTAAAATGAAGGAGAGAATCTTAGAAGCAGCAAGAGCTAAGGGGACAGTCACCTACAAAGGAGTTCCCATCAGACTGTCAGCTGATTTCTCAAAAGAGACCTTACAGGCAAGAAGGGGATGGAAAGAGGTATTCCAAGTCATGAAATCCAAACACCTACAACCAAGATTGCTCTATCCAGCAAAACTTTCATTTAGAATGGAAGGACAGATAAAGTACTTCTCAGATAAGATCAAATTCAAGGAGTTCATCATCACCAAGCCCTTATTATATGAAATGTTAAAGGGACTTATCTAAGAAAAAGAAGTTAAAGAAACATGAACAGTGAAAGGACAGCAAACTCACAGTTATTAACAACCACACCTAAAACAAAAGCAAACTAGAAGGACAGCTAGATCAGGAGTGGAAACATAGAAATGAAGATCTCAAGGAGGGTTAGCAACCGGAGACTGGGAGGAGGAGAAGGGGGGATAAGGTACAGAAAATAAGTAGCATAGACAGTAGATAGAAAATAGATGGGGGGGCAAGAATAGCATGGGAAATATAGAATCTAAAGGACTTGAGACACATGGTCATAAAAGGGGGGGTAATGGTGGGGATGGGGGGTAGGGTGGAGGGGAATGAAAGGGGGAATAGAACAATTGTAACAGCATAATCAATAAAAAATTTAAAAAAATAATAAATGTAAGCTCATAAATTACATGGTTAATCTATCTTTTATCCTTTTACTGCTCTTCAGAAATAAAGTCGCTGTTTATGAGTTGAAACTAAAAATCTGCACAGCCAACTTGGTTCTTTTCGGATTGAACTCCTACTCGGTAATAATTTTCCTCATCTATATTAAGCATTTAGAGAGGAATCTCTAGGGACGCAATAATAGAGTCATAATATAGGCCCTATATGTGATTATTTATAAAATTTTAAGTGACTAAGTAAAAAGCCTTAAATAGAAACTTTTGAACAGTATAATGGTTTAAGGTGTCAAAAAACGCAGATTTAAATCCTGTTTCTTCTGTCTCTTGATAGTTGTGTCTGATCTTGGATAAACTATTTAAATTGTGCCTCTGTTTCCTTATTGTGAGGATGAGAAATAATTGTGAAGTACTTAGAAGAGTACCTCATATAGTACATACTTCATGTGATTTCTTGCTTTGATATCTTTCTCACTTCACAAAATCAAACTGTTGGAAGGGGTATAAATAAATCACCTAATAATATGTATTCTCTCCTGAGGAAAGATAGTTGTCTATCCTTATGTTAAAAATCTATATTTTATTATTTTCAAAGACCAAACACTGGAAACAATTCAAACATCATCATCAAGTGAATGGATAAACAACTGTGATAAATCCATACTATTCAGCAATAAAAGGAAATAAACCATGGATACATGCATCAACTTGGATGAATCTCAAAATAATTATGCTGAATGAAAGGAGTCAAGCAAAAAGAGTATATACTATATGACTCTTTCCATATAACATTCTAGAAAAAGCAAAATTATAATGACAAAAAGCAGATTAGCTTTTTGGGGGCAGGTGTGGGAGGAAGGGATTCAGTTAAAGAGGAACAAAGACACTTTAAAATGTGTCCACTGTTTTGATTGTGGTGGTGGCTACATAAGTGTATACAATTACTAACATTCATCAAATCATACATTTATAGTAGGTGAATTTTTAATATGCAAATAATACCTTAATTGAAAAAATTCTATAACTACCAAGAATAGCATCCATACAGCATGTCAGCCCTGGCTGGTGTAGCTCAGTGGACTGAGTGTGGGCTGGCAAACCAAAGGGTCGCTGGTTTGATTCCCAGTCAGGCACATGCCTGGGTTGTGGGCCAGGTCCCCAGTACAGGACACATGAGAGGCAACTACACATCGCTATTTCTCTTCCTTTCCTTCACCTTCCCTTCCCCTCTTTCTAAAAGTAAATAAATAAAATCTTTTTTAAAAAGCAGGAAAAAAACATGTAATAGTTGTGCAAACTGTTATTTACATATGAGCTGTCATCATAGGAATGTATTAAGTGTGAGATACTAGCAGAATACTAGGAGAACCCCCCCAAAACTGGAATTATCTTCTGGAGGGTGGGCCCCTTGTAGTACAGGCTTCCCCCATTAGGTGAGTATTCTAGGAACCCATCTGTATCAGAGTACCAGCTAGTATTGTGAGAGGGTATTTTTAGCTTCAGTTATTTTTTTTGAAGACTCTTTCAATGCGTTTGCACATTACATGTTGGGTGATTTATGAGTGTACCTGCGCACACCACACGGAGTGTTCAGCAGATTTTGACCAAAAACAGAATAACCCCCATGTTCCACCCTCCCTATTCACCCAATCTTTTCCTAAGTGACTATATTTTGTTTCCAGGGAAAAAAAAAGCCCTCAAAGGGAAATATCTTGCTGATGTCGAAGAGGTGAAGCAAAAAACAACAAAAGTACTATAAGGTATTGAAATTGACGACAAGTTCGAATACCATATGATCTAACCTATAAGAGGAACCTAATAGACAGAACAACAAAGTATGATAGTGACCAGAGGGGAGGGAGGAGGGGGATAAGGATGGAAAGAAGGGAAAGGGATGAATCAAGGAACATGTATGAATGACCCATAGGCATTAAACAACAGGGTGGGGATTGACTGTGGAAGCCAGGGAAGAGTGCAGAAAGCAAAGTGGGAAAAATCAGGACCGTTCTAATAGAACAACAATAAAATATTTATTTAAAAAACTGTTTTGAACAAACAAGCAAACAGAATAAAAACAAAGACACTGAAATAGAGAACAAGTGGGCAGCGACCAGAGGGGAGAGGGAAGGGAATTTAAGGGGAAAAATGGGGAGGGATTTTGAGGAACAAGTACAAAAGACACAGGGATGAGGACTGGGGGGGGCGGGGATGGGAGAGAGGTGGGGAGATGGGGCGGGGGGGCTGGGATGGGAGAAATAGACAAAAAACTGTATTTGAAAAATAACTAAATAAAAAAAAAATTTTTAAAGAATCTTAACAAAAATAATTATGGCATTCATGAGACAGGAATTTCAACACTGACTGATGAACACTTGATGTTATTAAGAAATCATTATCACTTCTTCTACATACATGATGTGCTGTGACAGCTGGGATTTGCTTCCAAGTTGATGGGAGGAGAGATATGGATGTGGAAGTGGGCAGATGTTGGAGCTGGGTGATGGGTGCACGAGGGCTCACTGGATGATGCCATAAATATTTGCATTTGTTTGAAATTCTGCATCATATATTTTAAAAATTAAATTGGAATTTTAAGACCAATTTCTGAGATTCCTTAAGATATCATATATAGTTAAGACACGGTTTCCTCCAAATATCAAAAATCAATGTTTATACTGTGAAAAGGGAAACAAATAAGTAAAAAAATATTTTTTAAATCCTCCTGCCACTTTCCCTCCATTATCAAATAGAATGTGATGGCTTACATGTGATGGACTCATGGACACAGAGAATGTAGCCTTCAAATATAGACCTTCTCAAAGGGCAGGGATGGATTCATGTTAAGCATAGCCTTTAGCATACCTTGGATGAGCCAGAGCTATCAAATGGCAACAGCCACTCCCAAGAGCTATTTCATTTCTGAGTGGCATTTCTCTGGAGAGCTTTTCACTCCAGTTCAGGGACTAAACAAAGAAACCTACACATGTGGCTGAAAGAAATTGTGGCTTTGGCAAAGTAGGTGTGCTAATGTTCAGTTGGTCCCATCTACAATTATTCTGGCTCCTGAGGAAAACTGAACTATGATTCCAACAAGTTTATATGTAACCTTCATTTTCAAATCCCTGACCCTCTGCCCCCACAATCATTCAGTTCCTGCATAACCAGGTGAAAGAAAACACACTTAAGCAGAAACTGGGGTGAAAAACAGAACATTATTGAAGATAAAAAGAACACACTGGAAAAATCTATTAATTAGTCAAGTTTCTGTTCTCCCCAACCCCCACCCTCTGCCCTTCAAGGAGTGACTTTACCAGCCAAGTATTTACCTCTGAGCAGCTACAGTTGCAGCAGCATCCAGAGCAAAATGTCTCATCACGTTCTCCTCTAAATACTTCTGCTCCCACTTAGTCATATCAGCTTCCAAGGCCAGGATTCTCTCCTCCTTTTCACGAAGGAGCTCCATCAGTGCAGCAGCATTGTATTCCGAAATACTGGTGGGCTGAGAGTTGCCTTGGCGCTGTTGGGGGAGATGCCGAGACCTCTCAGATTAGTAGAAGCATGGTGGGCAAGTCCCATCTGAAGAGCCCCTGTATTTGGAAAGGATTACTGCCCAAGCCACTTCAGTTTGGATTCTGATTTCAAAGCAAGAGAAATGTTTTCCTCCTAAGCCCACAGAACTATCTGTCTGTCTTAGGCTTGAATATGAGATTCCCTTAATCTGAAAAAAAAGCTTGCCATATCAAATTGTCTTGCTGCTTAGAAAGTGGATCAATGTTTTACAAACCACAATCCCTGACTGTCTGTATGGTACACAATGAAAGTGGGAAGTACAAATCTAGGCTGTGGTCTTTAACTTGCTCCTGACTTGTTTGACTTTCAGTGAGTAATACAACTTTTTTTGGGTCTTGATTTTCATTCATGTGAAAATGAGGAGGGGAAAGGCCAGGTGATTCTAAAGACCATTTCCAATTCTAAAATGATTAGGAGTCTATTTGTATAGCATCTTCACTTCTTATTGAGTCTACTGTTTCTGGGGTTCATATGAAAAAATAAAAGGTGAAAGATAACAGCATTAAAGATTTTGCTGGGATTGGAAAGTAAGTAAGCAGGCTTCATCTTCACAATTAGGGGGCACTCTGGAGTAAGATCAGGTGGGGCACAAATCCTAAAGATGAGCATGAGGTGGGTTTTTTTTTTTTTTAGTCTTCATGTCAAACACCAGGGGAAAAAAATGAGCAATCAGGAATGTTCAAGTTTTCCAAACCTGTTGAATTCTGAGGGATTCCAGTTCTCTCTCTAGCCGTGTCCGGAGACGGTGCTCCAGCTGCTCACGTTTTTCACATGCTGCCTGGAGCTGTACAAGGGCCTGCTGCATCTTCTCCACCTTATCTACATATACCTGCTTCTTTTTCAGCTGAAAACCCAGGTTCAGACCATCACAAGATGGAAGAAAAGAGAACAAGATCAGTTGTGCAGGTTCCTGTCCACCAGTCCAGCCCTTTGTTTAGATCTTTTACTGTCCAGCTCTAAAAGAGTAAATTATGAGGTTTTTCATGATGAGTAGCAGACTGCCTTGAATTTATCACACAGAAAATATGACAAGGGATAGGAATCAGGGGCCTCTTTTAAAACTCTTCCTCCTTCCCCGTATCTTTTTCTAGTAGTAGAGTCTATGACACACTCTACTGATGGAAATAATAGTACATGGCAAGCTCCTAAGATTCCCATTTTGGATGTCCTCACCTTTGCTCTTCATTTTGAACTGCAATATTCTGAGGGAAGGTATATCTTACTTTGGTCATTACAATAGAGAAAAGCTATAAAAAAAAAAAGAAGAAGAAGAAGAAGAAGACTCTCCAGGAAAAAAAGCTTAACTTGGCATGGAAAGGAAGCTCACACCCCTTTTATGTAGAAGTCTCCTCTCCTAGTGAGAGAAAAAGGGTGGTCAATTGCTAAAAGTACAAAGAGTCTATCATTGTTTTTTTTAAGTCTGCAGTCCTGGTAATTACCTTTTATTAGGACAGACATCAGTTGCAATTTCTGCCTCACACATGAGCCTTAGCCTTAGTTGATAATATTGGACTGTAATCTTTCAACCATTTTTTCTGACACCTTTAAAGATTCCTAAAGACTCAAATTAATCAATCAAATCTAAAACTAACTAAGTCAAACATGCTTCTTGCTATCTGAAAGCCTATGAACCATATCCGAAAGCAAAGGCAGAAGTAGGCTAGGAAATAATTTCCTTACCAATTTGTTAGTAAATAAACAGATATGCATTTTATAAGACTTGCAGAATTACCTTTCTTGCTAATAAAATCAACCCATAGACTCTTTACAAAGCAGACAATTTTCCAATTGTCGTCATCATTTTCATGGAAGCTGAGGTTAGGGATACTTTCACTATTATGGTTTAAATCTGAAAACATTATTGATAAGTGAATCAAAAAGAAATTCAAGAATCCAGCTGAGCTCTAACTCTTCAATAAATTCCTAAACCCTTAAGCTCTCTACCAGCACTGCTGATACCCATTTAGCTGGGGCCAAGCCAGCAAAACCTGACTTCCCCATTGCAGAAACCAGGTAACTGATTAATGATAATGAGTCCTAATCACTACTATCTAGAATGCCCAGTCAGACACCAATGGTATGTTCTAATGGAGAACTCTCCTGTCTTATAACTGCTCTCTCCTCAAATTACAATTGTTAAACTTTCTCCAGGTAAAAGAAAACCTGTATTTTATGCTCCTAGCAGCCCCATGGTATGTTTTCCCTAGGTGACTGAGAAAAGAAACTTTAAATTTTTTTCTATATTTTCTTTAGATTTCCTTTCATTCTGAGGCCAAGTTCAATCTAACCTTATAAACCAGACGAGGCGAAGACTCGAAACAAAGAAACAAAAAATTATCATTCTCTTTATCTCACTAAGCTTAAACCTTCCTTTCCTTGGATCCATAACTACTTATTGGTAACAACACTGACTAGGGTGATGAAGACCTTAGGCCATGGATGCCTCTGGTTTCCTATTTGCTAAGCTTTGAATAATTGTAAAGCAGAATATATCCAATATCTTTCACCTTTTGGGTTCTATAATCCTCATAAGCTATTTAAAGTTGAATGCATTTATTTGTGAATCACTCTGAAAACCCTAGGGGAGCAGCAAAATGTTAATGCGAAGAATGTTAAGTATAATTACAGAGGCTTACAGCAGTTATATTTAAAGGTAATTAAAGTTACATAGTATGCAGTTCTTGTCTTGATGGTAAAGTACTGTGATGTAAGCTCAGAGAACTGAAAAATAAGCAGTTTAGAGCCAGGTAAATTTCTCCATGCTCTACCTTTCTTGAAAAAGAAAACCTCAGTATCTTATCAAAAGCATCCTCAGTAATTCTATAGCTGAGCCACCCTTCTGGAAGGGAAAAACAATAAAGGACCAGACAGTTTTCTGAGTTGGTTGAAGATAGGCATGCAGACCAGACAACTTCCACAAAGCAGACCCAGAAGAATGCCATTACACTTTCTTTCTTTGCCATTAGGATGATGTCTCCACAAGGTACAAGGACTCCTGGTGCTGTAATAATTCCTCTGCCCCCTTTAAAAGAAGAAAGAATGCAGTGCACCCATAAACACCATGATCACCTAGTAAATGCTTAATCTCTAGATAAGTAAGGATATAAAAAGAGAACTCTTTCCCTGGCTGGGTATGCCATTTAGTTAGAGCATTGCCTCGATACACCAAGGTTGTGGGTTCAATCTCCAGTTAGGGCATATACAAGCACCAACCAATGAATATACAAATAAGTGGAACAATGAAAATTGATGTGAAAGAAAGAAAAGAAAAGAAAAGAAAAGAAGAAAGAAAGAAAGAAAGAAAGAAAGAAAGAAAGAAAGAAAGAAAGAAAGAAAGAAAGAAAGAAAGAAAGAAAGAAAGAAAAGGGAGGAAAGAAAGGAAGAAAGATAGACAATTCCTGGATGCTACCAATGCAGGACCATGTAAATGCTACCAACAAAGCCAGCTATCATTTAAGTTACATACTGTTTTCTAGATCTCACCTATATGTAGAAAAAAACAAAGGTCTATGGTTTATTAAATTCACCACTATTTTAGATGTTATATGCCTCAGTTTCACCTTTATCGTGGAAATCCCCTCTTTTTTCACCTCACACCTACAAACTCATCTCCTGTGCTAGGCTTCTGAAATGTTAAATCAGTATCTAGAACATCCCTGGTGCCCAGCTTCACTTTCCAATGCTAGCAGAAATGTCAGTGGTTCTTATATAAAGAGAAGGGCCATGCCCTGGCTGGTATGGCTCAGTGGATTGAGTGCCAGTCTGCGAAACAAAGGGTCATGGGTTCAATTCCTAGTCAAGGTACATGCCTGGGTTGCAGGCCAGGTCTCCAGTTGGGGGTGTGCAAGAGGCAACCACACAGTGATATTTCTCTCCCTCTCTTTCTCCCTTTCTTCTCCTCTCTCTCAAAACAAACAAACAAATAAATCTTTAAAAACATTTTAGAAAAAGAGAGGAGCCATATAGTCAAATAGTAAAAGTCATGAGATCTAGCCTCAGACTGCCCAGGTCCAAATCTTGGCTCTCCTTTTCACTAGATATCCAACCTTGGGCATGGTACTTAATCTCCCTGAGCTTCCATTTACTTATTCATCAATAATATGGAAATGATAATACAATATACCCCTATAAAGATCAAATGAGATAACATACAAAGTATTTAGTAGAATGTCTGGTACAGAAAGTACTCAGAGTCTTCCTTTTTAAAAGAAAAAGTTAATGCCAAGTCACACATGCTCTCATATTTTCAACTTTTCAATATTCACTCCAGATAGCCTTGCCATGGTTCTCATTATCTCAGTAACTTTAATTATCATATTGATCTCTAATTAAGACACTAATAATGCAGCATTTTTTTCCCAGAAAGACATATAACATTAGACCTGAAACACTTTCTGAAGAACAGCTTCAGATGTCTTTATAGGGCAAGGCCCTTCATTAGAAATACAATTAAATGAAAGCAATGAGTAACTACCAGGATACCATATTCTCTCAGAATGATATGATTTAGAGCATCTCCACTTTAGGAGAAATAAATACTTTTAAGGTATTGTTTAACTAAAGACCCTTAGGCAGAGTGCATAACCCACAACATACACACATGCATGCTTACACACACACACACACACACACACACACACAGATACATATCAGAACTTTCTGACAGCAAAATGAAAGAGAAAAAAAATAAGGTGGTAATCAGAAGACTTGGATTCTAGTCCTAGCTCTACTCTTAATGGTAGTATGCTTACCTGTTTTCAGCTCCAGAGTCCCCATTTGTAAAAAATGAGGGAGGTTTTAGGTCAGCAAATCGAAATAGTCAGCAGCAGGCCAAATCTAGCTATGCCCATTCACTTATGGATTGGCTATGGCTGCCTTCCTCCAGTAATGGCAGTGATGACCAGTTCCATTTGTAAAAGAAACTGTATGGTCCACATAACTGGAAATACTCTCTAGTCCTTTACAGATCGATTGTCAGGCCCTGGAGTGATTTTCAAACTGTTCCAGAGTACTAGTTCTGTGGAGCGCTTCAGAGGTCACTGTGGTGGGTCCTGATATGTATTTTATATATTGGGGTTTTACATAAAACTTCATTTCTAAAAAAGACTGCTAACTCTTAGAATGAATATATATTTGTATGTTGTCTGTCTTCCCCAGAGAATGGAACTCTTATTTTACCTCACTCCTTCATTTTTCTCACACTTAACACTTAAGCATGGTTATATGACTTAAAAAGATTCATGAGGCTCTGGCCAGTGTAGCTCAGTGGATTGAGCACAGGCCTGTGAAGCAAAGGGTCACTGGTTCAATTCCCAGTCAGGGCACATGCCTGGGTTGCAGGCCAGGTCCCCAGTAGGGGACACATGAGAGGCAACCACACATTGATGTTTTTCTCCCACTCTTTCTCCTTCCCTTCCCCTCTCTCTAAAAATAAATTAAAAAATATTTTTTAAAAAGATTCATGAGGACCCCATGGTATTTCATCCCTCATTGCCTTTGGATATGACACTCTGTCTCTTGTGCACTAGGTTTTAAGAAGTTTAAACAACACTGCGATAAACAGATGATCTCAGATGTTCTCTAATAGCCTTTTAATTCACAAATATTCTATGAATCTAAGCTCCCTCCTTTCACCTTCAACCCTAACCAGTATGTAGGAGGGTTAGAGAAAATGGGACCCTAGAATTCCATATAGGCACATGCATGCAAGAGACAGAACATAAATGTGTATAGTTTCCATGGGATCTTAGATAATTTATTTCTCTATGTTTTCAGTGTTCAAGGAAGTAAAAGTTTACTTGAAATGTTTCTAAAACCAAAGTAGGGACTCAGGTCTAGAGATGG